AAATCATGTTATGGTCATACTCGAGGTGCTGATGCATTGTCTCTTAAGCGTTGTTTTGATCATGCATAATTTATTTATTTTTTAAGACATAATATCAATTTTGATTTTTACTATTTTACACAAACTTAAACTATTATTTTACTTTGAAGGAAGTATATTAAGACTAATTTATTATGATATTAAACAATTAATGTTGTTGAGAAAAATTCTAAAATATTTTTATTATTTCGTATTTAGAATTAGACATTTTTTTTATAATATGAAGATTAATAATTTTTTGTTTTTGAATTTTCATTAAGAATAAATTCTCAAATTGAGTTGATTATTAAATATTCAATTACACATACGCCAGATCATATAAAAAAAAAACGAGTCTTTATATCCAAATTTTAGAAAACGTAAAAAAATATACTGGAATTATAAGCAATAAAAACTGACATGATAGTTATTAACAGTTGGAGAAGATTTATACTATTTATGTTCTTGAAACTTTATAATTAGTAGAAAACACAGGAAAGAATTTTATTTTAAACATAAACTTTAGTAATTTGAATTTATGAATAATTTTAAAAAATATCATTGAAGTTAATTTACATGTTCACATTTAAACAATATTTAATTAAAAAATATGTAAATAATACTATGAAAAACAATTTCTCTTAGATCACTATTAGGTTTTTTTTTGTTAATTTTAATTGTTTCTTTTCATGAAAACTTGAATGAATCTACGGATTTTTTTCTAAAAAAGGTTTTAAAAAATATGAATTAATTTAATTCAAAGTTAATTTGAATAATAATTTCTCTATATAATATAAGACGATAGAAAATAGAAGAATATAAGCGGAAATAATGACATACATTTATGAAGGTATAAGTAAATAAAGGTTTGGAACTATGAGGGATAAAAGTAAAAGAGGATAAGAATCTAATAGGTTATGGTTATAAGCACAATTAAATTGTAAGACTATAAAAGTTTAATATAGTAAAGAGATTAGATTTGAAAGATATAACACTATAAAAGGATAAAGCTACAAGAATATAAAGAGATGAGAATGTTGTAGATAAAACCAATGTAATTCTTGTCTAAATTGTAACATAATAAATTGATATATTTATTTGATATTTTTTTAATAATCATTTTTAAAATGTTTAACATTATATCAAAAAAATTACAAAACTTGGAATTTGTGAGTTTCAAACTTTATCTCGATAAGAAATCGTACTGATAAATTTCTTTATACTATATTCTATTTAAAATATTAAATCATTATATTATTGCAATTAATCATATTTTCCTTGGTTTTTATGCCTTATGTGTCAGGCAGAAATATGACAAAAGAAAGAAATATTGGAGTGGTAAAATAGATAAAAATTAAGATCGTACGATTTTTTTTCTGGTCGTCAATTTTTCAACGAGTACTCGAAAAAAAAATTATAAATTTTAATGTTTTTATTGTAAATATGTACATGAAACGTTTTTCAGATAGTTTAATATAGCATAAACAAGATTTTTATTCGAATTTGAATGTAAAATTACATTCTTCACTGTTTTTTTGTGTAGTTGAAAAAGTGAATACATTCGAGAATCGATCTGTATGTCCGGACTGGCTTGTCGTTTACATGATAATTTTCGAAAGGAAAGACAAATCGCGATGAAATTTTCTACACAATTTAGTCTCAACAATATCTCAGTCGAGAGAAGAAGATCAGAAAGATTGGCAGAGTCGTTCCTTGTTTATTGCAAAAATACTCATTTTTCCTATGGAAAAATCGACTTATCCCAGCTTCTGTAAAAGACTTTTCTTATCATAGTCAAATTAAACTCCAACTATTCAATATCATTCAATAGAGAATTTCAAGAGCTACAAAATGATATATAAAACACTAAGAATCAAGAAGACTATTTCACCTATTGGTAAGATAAATAATCAATCATAAAGATGATAACTGATGGTTTTTAGGGATGGAAAACTCAAATCTTTACTCCGATTGCCTCGAAGGTTCATTGATTGAATATTGAATTAATAGAAATCAATTTATAGGAAAAACGATTTACTGAGACTAAGTTAAACCGAAAAGTTCAAATCTGATTTCTCAGCGTCATTTTTATATTCATAGATTTGTTGAATGATCAATTTGTCTTATTCAATTTTAGAAGTACACAAAACTCTCGGATATAAATCTAAGATTTACACATTTATTTTTTTTTTTGAAAAACAAAAATAAAAGAAACAAATTCCTAAAATGACGATAAATAACATTCTCATTATGCTTCAGAGTTTTCTTATTAGATGTTATACAAACTTTTTCAAAAGTAATTATAAGAATAAATGTTTAAATGCAAAATTTGAATATAGTGATTGATTATAAGATAACAATTTAAATATAAGATAAGAAGATAATAGACATTAACATCCATATTCACATTGAAACATATCCATACTCACAATATTTTCATCATCCACTTTTCGTATATGATAAATGAAGATTAATTTAATATTATAGAATATTTACAATGAATCGATATGCAGATATTGATCTTGAAGAGAAAAGACTTCCACCTATTTATGGTTATTGGAGTCATCCATTGGTTTCACTTGAAGAAGCTTTAAAACCCATTATACCAACAATCGATCAATTGTCACGGTATATTCAAGTTGCAAAACAACATTGTCATTTTCCATCAGAACATGGTCTCACTCGAGATGAATCAGCTGCTGTATTTTTGTATACAATGGAATGGGGCGATAAAAGTTTCTATCGAGTTTTTAATCAAGCAGTACGATCTAAAGATAGACGTGGATTAACACCATGGTTCGCCTTTCTCAAATTGTTTGATACGGCACTTAGTAAATTACCTATTGTTAAAAAAAATGTTTGGCGTGGTGTAACTGGTGATTTAAGTAAACATTTTCGAAAGGGAAAAGAATTAATTTGGTGGAGTGTAAGTTCTTGTTCGCCATCAGTCGATGTTATCAAGACATTTCTTGATAATAATTCAACTCTTTTTATGATTGAAGCTCTAAAAGGTAAGGATATTTCTAGCTATACAAGTTTTCCTGACGAACAGGAAGTTCTATTGGGTTTGGGAACTCGATTACGTGTCGAAAGTAATGCATTGGATCATCCTGGTGGTTTACATGTAATACATTTAATAGAGATTAATGATAATAGTGGTGAAGAATTATCATCTGCTATGGCTCAGACACACATTGAACCACCAATCGATATTAAGAAGAAATCTAGTAAATATCAAATATATTTTATATTAAATAAGAGATCTTAGGCAATCTTTAATTAAAATGAAATTTCGTTATACCACTTGAAATAACCGTCGAATAAAAATACTGGAATCAATTTAGTTAATGAATTTCAATATTTAATGAAACATGCGATTATTTACGAAAGAAAAAACAAACGAAAATCGGTTCTTTTTAAAAAGTCACTTAGGTGAAAAATTTAGTATTTTTTATAGTGTATTAAACTAATTATTCTTTTCAAAGGTCAATTTTTCAAAAAATTATTGAGATCAGTGGAAAATATCTCTTTTCTTTGGTTGAGATCATTTGTAACACACGTTACAGAAGAAATTTAAAAAATCTAAAACATTGTTCGACCATGTTGACACTTTCTAATCTATTTAATCGTTGTTTTTTTATATAAAAAATAATGTCTAATCTACAAATATTATATTAGACTAAATTCCAAAGGACAAATCTGAAATAGAGAAAAAGCTGAAAACCAAATTACAGCTTGAAATATTGTTGATAGTCCATCATCTGTAAACATTAGTCTTTTTTTATTTTTGTTTTTCATAGTGAAAAACACTTGAAAAAACTTGTTGAACAGTGATTTTTATTCTTCAAGACGAGAATAATGAAGATAATCTTTCAGATTATTTGAAGAAGATTGATTTTAAAAAAAAATTAACATTTTCGCTCTTTGATTAAACACTCAAGAGAAAATTTCAATCTTGTATTACAATTAATGACGAGTAAGTTTTTATATCTAAACGAGAATAATGTAGAAAGTGAGACTAATCTTATATTAATTAATTGTTGATCGCACATTATTTCTATGCTCAATAAATATGTCGAATTGTACTATAGAATAATTTGAATATTTCTATCAAAATAAGATACATTTTAGTAAATTTATAAATGGAATATCAATATTCATATATAAGTGCCTTGAGCGAACGATGAAAAAAAAACTTAGCGAAATAATGCGAAACGAAATGTCAAATGCAGATCCATAGTGCGTCTACTAAGAAAGCTTCATCAAGGTCCTCGATATGGATACTTCGAAAATTATCAATAATTTTACTGAGAAAAGTTCTATAGAATACTCTAAATTTGTTGCATTCTGTATATCAACTGTTCCTCCATGGTTTTCTTTTGTATACACAACTTTATATAAACAAATTGACAAAATATAAGAAATCGATATTTTTCTAGACTATTTACTTGTCGAGAACATATCGATCTTGATCGTACATTGAGAAAGAATTACTCTGATGGAAATCTAGTCAACTCAAATTTGATCTACTTGAGTTTTCAGAATTGAAGAAATTAAGTTAAATAAAATCAAAAAAAATGTCATAAACTTCTATGAGTGAAACAAAAATGAAAAAAGTCAAAGGTTAGATTCGATCATCAATATACTAGAATTTTAGTAAATATAGTGTAAAATAGTACCCAATGGAGTATTTGATCAGTGCCTTCAAATATCCATTCACTAGGGATCGTTATATTTTGAGCAAGACTATCGATCATGTGAATATAAATAATCATTTTTCTCCTTTCTGTCAACAACTCGAATCTTAATAAAGCGCTTGCTTTTTCTTAAATATTGAGATTAAAATAAAATCATTTATGTATTTACTATGAAAAATTCTATCAAACATAAGGACTTAAATCTGTTCAATGTCTGTTGTTTTCACAGTGATGATGAAATTGTTTTAGCACAAGATATAACTCTCAAAATTTTAAATCTTTTCAAAAATATCTGATGTACATCACGAATTCTTGAAAATTCTTTTGTTTCTAAGAAGAAAAGCATCAATCATTTTTATGTTTTTTCTAATAGGAATAAAATATTTTCCTTTAGATAAATCAAACCAAGAAAAATCAGCTACATCAGAGTCTTCACCAGTACCAAAGCTTACTAGGAGTTAGCTATTTTCTATGTCATTCTCATTTACATAAATAACTACTTAATTTTCATTCAAATCAATTTAATAATTTGAAGAAAAACTTTGTTATTAATATTTATTTGCCATACAGTTATTGATAGTATTAAATACTGAAAGATTTTCACATTGAAATAAACAAAATAGTAGAATAAACACTTCCTAATAATGATTCAACAACGACTGAAGCTAAGCTTCGTTATAAACTTGCACTCTTTATTTTAAAAGGACAAAAATTTGTGAATAAATCATTTGTGATCGTCATTGATTTGTCATTTGATTTTGGTTTAGTATATCAGTATGAATACAATTATTCAACGGAAGTCGGACATTTGAATAAAACTTTTGTTATTAATATTCATTTTTGCATGAATCTTCGATAATAGTTGTTATGTAGAAATTGTATCAGAAAATTACCGATTAAGTGAATAAATATTTGGTCGTGATAATCATTCAATTGCTAGAAGATCATCATTTATGTTCTCAATTTGAAATTTAAAGATCTTTATAAGGAAACTATTTCAATAAAAATTTCCTTATAATAATTCATTTCTGATAAGATAATCAATATTGCTCTGTCAACTTGAAACATATTTTCAGAAAACAATAAAATTGTTGAAGAGAACTTTGGTACAAGTTGTTCAATTGCTACAAAGTTGTCAATTTTGTTATTGACTCGAAAATATTTTCTCTCATATAGGCAAAATAGTTAAATAAACTTTTTTTTGTAATTATGCAAATGACCTAAAATCTCTGATAATTATACAAATATGAAATTGTCATTTCGTAGTTAGGCAAAATTATTGAACAGAATATTCATTATAATCAGTTATAATTCATAAAATCATATCTTAGATGATCAACTGAAAACATTTCCTGAAAAGTGAGCAGAATAGTTGAACAAATTATTGTTGGTTAAAATTTTTCATTATCTAAAAGTTCATTGATTAAATAAATCAAATCCTTTATTAAAAAATTGAGTAAAATAAATGAATAGATCTTTCTTTTCAAATATACATATTTCATCATATCATTCATTGTTCTATCAATTCAGAATTCTTTCTTTTGAATGCACTAAATAATCAGATATAATTATGATTAAAATAATTTATTTTCAATGGTATTGTCAATTATGTTAAAAAAAGAATATAATTACTTTGAAATAAATACAATAGTTAAATAGACCTTTGATTATAACTATTCATTTTCAATGTGATTTTCAATTTTATTATTGAATAAAAAATTTTCATTTCAATAAGAATAAAATTTTGAATAGAATTTTAATATAATTTATTCATTTTTTATGAGATTCTTTAATTATATAACGAATGTAAAATATTTTTAATTTATATAAAGTGAACGAAATAATTGAAATAAACATTGGTTATTGTTTTTCATATTTCATCCGATTGTGAATTTTATTATTAGCTCAAAATCATAAATTGAAAGTGAATAACATTGTATAACATACCTTTCATTAGAAATATTTATTCGTTATATGAATATTAAAAGTTTAATCTACTGAAAATCTTTAATACAATCAGAATAAAATGTTAGAATAATATCTTGTTTATAATGATTAATATGATATCTCATCATGAAAAATCTTATTAATAAAATTCTTTTATTTCAAAACAAGTAAAATAGTTGAACAAAAGTTTATTGTTAATCATTTTTGAATTACGTAATCATAGATGATTTTATGAGTTGCAATGTTTTCCTTTCGAAATGGTTTAAATAGATGAACGAAATATTGTTCATAACTATTTATATAACATGAAGTCTTTTCATATGTTATTATTTAAAAACCTTTGCTTTGATATAGCAATATAGTCGAAAAAACCTTCGTTGTATTCATTATTTTACTGCACAAACCCTTATAATATTATCAATTAAAAATATTTGTTTTGAACTGAACAAATAATTAAACAAGACCTTGATTATAATTATTGTTTTGTCATAAGATCGTTGGTTATGTTATCTATTGAAATCTCTATCAGAAAATAATCAACATAATTAAACAGAATCGTTATTAAATTTATTTATTTATCCTTAAATTATAAATTATGTCGTAAATTAAATCTTCTATTTGAAGATAAGCAAAAGAATTGAACAGAACTATCGTTATAATCATTCATATTTCATAATATAATCAATCATTTTATCAACAGAAATATTTACTTTCAAGTGAGAATAATATTTGGAATGAATCTTCGTTTTAATTATTTCATCTTTGTGAGATTCTCAACTAAGTTATGAATTTGTAGAATTCTTACTGAAGTAAATAACAAAGTTGAATAAAACTTTCTTAATAATCATTCATATTGACATTTCGTTCTTGATTACACTACAAATATTTAATTGGAAATCAAAAACAAAAAATAATTGAACAAAATCTTATTGTTAACTATTTTATTTCTCAATGGTTTTTTATTTTATTATCAGTTTAAAAAATTCGTGTCGAAATACTCAAAATAATTGAATTGAACCTTGAACATAAAAATAATTCATTTCCCATAATATTGTCGATTATTCTACTAAATAGAAACAATTACTTTAAAATGCAAAAAAATTGTTGAATTAAATCTTTATTATAATTATTAATTTTCAATGAAATCCATAAGAATATTTTCAACTTGAAATCATTATTTAAGAAACAGTAAAATAATAAAATGATAGTTTCTTTAAAAGCATTCATTTGTTATGAAATTATCAACTTCGTTATTAAATAAGTATTTTTCTGAAAGACAAAAAAGAGTAGTTGAACAGAACTTTTATTCGACTTGTTTATTTTCTATGATATGATCAATTATGTTATTAATTGAAAATATTCCATTCAAAGATAGAAATATAATTAAACAAGATTCTTCTTAAAATCTTTCATTTATCATATGATTATCTATTATATTCATAGATTGAAAACTATTTTCTATGTCGAGCAAATATGAGTTAAAATCAGTTGGTATAAGAGTTAATCATTGAATATGTCAATGTCGATTACATTATTATTTGAGAATATTTATGGTAAAGTGAACAAATCAGTTAAACAGAAACTTTCTTAGAGTTCTTCATTTATTATGTAATTATCAATTATA